TCAGCCATGAACTAAGCAAAATAACCCATTTGAGTCAGGTTGTGTGTTTAAAGCCTTATGATATTATATATGATATACATGTCACTGTACATACAATAGGAGGAGGATGCAGTTTGTCATCATGAGCAAAGCTGCTGCCAGTTTATTGGAAATTTGAATTAAAAAAAAAGACAAGCGGAAAGGAATAGGAACGTAATTATGCATGCAACTTAGTGAGAACAGTAGAATACTGATGTGAACTTACAAAATCATAGATACGATAGCGACTAGCATAGACGATAGGATACTGATAGAATGATAAATAGATACTTTATTTAATCCGAGGGGAAATTCAAGAATGCATGATGCAGTGATAAATGAGAAATAATGCACATTTTGGCCTTCAGTTCATCAACACAACACACACACTGATAGATATAGGCCATAATCTAAGAAAAAAAAAAAACCATTTGAATCACGTTGTGTGTTTAAAACCTTATTATAGTAAAAAAAAAAAAAATGTGACCGGAAGTCTTATTTTGCTGGCTGAATTTGTCAACAGTGGCTTTATTGTGAAAGTATAGCCGGAAGCCGTGGTGAGTGTGTACGGGTAACTTGACAGCGGTCGACCGGCCGAAGTCATCGGGACTGAGGAAAGACTTTACCGCCGCTGCAGCAGCAGCTCCCCCCCCCTACTCCCGTCCGGTTTTAAAAAAAAAGGATAAATTCAACAAAATAACACACAAGTTTCTCGCGGGTTTGCCCAACATTTAGCGGCCGCGGATTCAGCCGGTTTTACTTTCCTTTCTCTCAGCGGTGCTCAGACTGCTCGTTACCCCCGCGGCAGGCGGTTAGCATCGGATACCGCTGCTAAACATGGTGGCCTGTAGGCAAGAAGAAGAAGAAACGAGCCCCGTTTTGGGGATTTCTTTGGAGGAATTTTTTTTAAAGGCACTCGGACGGTTGTGAATGTGAAACACCGCTGCTCCGGACACACCACTACCCTCCTTTTTTAGCTTTATCTGGCGTTTTGACGGACTTCGACGTTGCCTTTCTGACACAAGCAGCAGCGGACCAGCACCGTCCGGGTTTTGTGGACCGTGGATAATTGTACTTCAGAAGTTGTCACCAGGCCGCCTGAAAGTTATTTTTTTTGGGGGTGGGGGGGGAAGTAGTAAAAAAACATGCTCTCACGCGTGGAGAAACGCATCAAATAGCAGCACGGGTTTGTTTTATGACTGTTTATATCACGGATGTCTTGACACTCGCAGAGAGATGAACTGGTGCACAAGTGCAGCTAACTGGGACTATTTGATCCTCTGAGATAGTCTCTATTAAAAAACAAACAAAAAAAAAAAAGCCCCCACCCCCTCCCCTTGTTTGAGGGGTTGATTCATTGTTAATCTCTGGATTATTATGGATTATTATTATGGCCTAATCGCAACCACGCCAGGCCTGGAGTATTGGGAATAACTGCATGATGATGATGATGATGATGATGATGATGACAGAGAAAAGCGATGGTTTCCCCTCGTTATGATTTTGAGTAGAGAGGAGTTAATTACATGGAGACTCGCCTGACATGCCAAGGAAGGAGTTGCCACTACCTGAGGGTTGGGAGGAAGCCAGAGACTTTGATGGCAAAGTGTATTACATTGACCACATTAACCAGTGCACCAGCTGGATCGATCCCAGAGACAGGTAGGAGTGTGTGTGTGTGTGTCCTTTACCCTCCTGCAGATGATCCAAAAAAAATCACCTGTCCTGTTAAAATAATAGAAGTTTGACTCATGCATAACACTACAAGGGCTGTAGGAGATTGATTTGCATGACTATGCACTTATACAGAGTATATTCATGTGAGTTTACGCTTCAAAATTAACACATTTTACTCCCCCGTTCATCATCGTGACACACATATTTATTGCCTTTTATTTTATAAGTCAACTACAGCCGCAATCGTCAGTTGGACTTACTCGACTCAGTATTAGTATCTTTGCACATCCATCATTCATTTTAGTCCATTTTTTAAGAAAAGAAGTCCAAATTGTCTGATTTCAGCTCCTCAAATGTGAATATTTTCTGGGGTCTTTAGTCCTCTCTGCCAGTAAACTGAATATCTCTGAGTTTTGGGTTAAACAAGACACTTGAGGATGTCACCTCGGTCATCGCCATTTTATGGACTTAAAAAAACGAATCCATTAATTGAGAACATAATCGGTAGCCCCAAAGCTCAGGAAAGGGCACACGCGTTCCCAACTTCAGTGACTCCATATTGTACCCCAAAAACAGGATGGGCAGACTGTCGCACCTGTTGTCAGTCCCTCACTGCAACTGGCAGCAGGACCATAGATCCCAATCAGCAGAGACGACACGAATCAAACGTTGCTTGATGTTCAAAAGACTCAAAGGAGGCTTTTGAACAAAGCAGAATCATTTTTAAAAGGCAGTTCTCCATCCTTGCTCTGCTTAAAAGCTGGAAATAGTTCAGAAAGTGCCAGCAGACCGATGTTTTCAGCACCTTCTACACTGATGAAACTACTTTTTCCTGCAAATTATAATCAGTAAACGGGCTCCGAGAGAGCGGTAGTGTACGTGATGGCCCAGGAGTGACTGCAACAATTCAGAGATTATCTCAATAGTTGCAGAAAACAGGCCGAAATCCTTGGATTGGTTCAGGTAAGGATAAAACTACAAACACCAGGTGACACAGCAGTGAAGACAGATGTTGAGTGATACGCCTCTTACACCACAGAAACCAGTACGACTGTCACTAAACCCGATGACCCGTCACATCCCTTTGTCAAGCTGTTTACACAAGATGTACAAATGGGACATAATGTGAAGCTGTAAACAACGTGGCACAAATATTTACCCTCGGGTTTAGGCTTAGACTATATGCAAATATTTTTGTGACATTACAACGTCTTACACTGTCTCTGTAATATGTAAATATCAGTGAAGCCTTATCTTAACTGAAGGTCTTTGTCTACGTCACAGGTTTATCTACAGACTCTTGTGTACAGACAGGTGTTTATGAGAACAAGTGATGGGGGAGACAACAATTAAACACTAGCGCTTCTTTTTAAATACTCAATTGATTGTTTGAGTCCATTTTCAAGCAAAAATATTTGATGTTTCTCATCTTCTCAAATGTGAGATTTTGCTTCCTAACTGTTAGAGCTTTGCCAAATGCCATTGTTT